AACCGGGAAATCCCCTACTTGGTCGCGGTATCGGATTGTTTATATCAACAAGTTTGTAAAAAATAAGGAAATGACTGTCTTTTGAGTTCGGCCCAAAGCGGACGCCGTCGTGTTAAGGGGTAGATGGTATGGCAAGGTTTTATGCCAAGTGAAATTTTCACGCCACTCTAATTGACCAAAAATCAATGCTAAAATTAATGAACCAATGTATTTATAAACCACCTTGTCTTGTTTTGCTCTTCGTATGTAGTCCCTCCAACACATATCCTTGACGACGCAACGAACGACTGCGCACGCGGCTGTTTTCCTTACCCAACAGAAGGACCGGCTCATGAGAAGGGAGAGAGTGTATTCGCCTTTTCCAGAGCCCCCCTCCTAACTAGCCTAGCTGTGATCACATTGGAGGGGTTGTCATACATATATCAAAAATGAACAGTTAAGGTGACTCGACCCAGTTTTTTTTTTTTGGGGGGGGGGGGTACCATCCTACTTTGAAGCTCTCTGGTATCCCCACCTTTACTTTTATCGTAACTCTAACACATAGAATGGATAACATATAGATCAATCTACAATATAACATAAAATTTTTGGCGATCGGAGTAAATGTCACGTAGTTATAATGTCACGCCCCTTTGAGGTCTGAGTCGAAAATCTGCTGTTGCCGACATTTTTTCGTGAAATCTCTCGGCTACACATAATGCACATTAGTGCCTTGCTCTGAACAGATTTTCACCAAAATCGCAAAGACCCAATAGGCAAATTTCACGATGGCGTTATTTGACTACATCTACCAGAATTCATTTCGTTTTTCTTTTCTTATTTAAATTTTGTAATCCCAGAGGGGTGTCCAAAACAAAAGGCGTAATTTGCACCAGAAAACGAAATCCTAAAGGATTCTGGTAGTTGTAGTCAAATGACGTCATCGTGCAAATGCCCTATTCGAGAAATTCAGCGGTTTCCAAATTTAGGTCATAATTTATGCGAAAATGACAAGCAAACTTTACACGGATTATATCTAATAAACTATGAGATTCATCTCTTTATTTTGGGCATCCTTAATATAACAGATGGGTCCTTGCAAGTCAGCAAAACGCTTTAGGGCCTTGTAAATGTGCGCGATTTCGAGCAAAGCAAACATATAGAAATTATAGTTTTCGCTATTTGTTGACGTTTGTCAGCGTTTAAGAGTCCTTCTCACGAAAAAAACATTTTCTTAAAAATTCGTAGCTTTTTTTTCCTTCAAATTTTTTCAGGGCCACAATTGATTAACTAACTACCCGGACTCTGAATTTCATGGCCATTGAAAAACTGTGACATTACCTTCTATAAGCCCAAACTTGAGTAAACATTGAAGATTTTTAGCGTTTTGGCTGAGTTTGTGCTTTGGGAGTTGTCTATTGTTTCTAGTCTGTCATGATACAGCATTCTTGTTCAGCACGCGTGCAATGACCACGCTTGGCTGACTTCCAAATGCTCATCGAGATATGATAATTTAGTATAAGAAAATAGAAGGCATTCCCGTAACGAGTTGGTTTAATTATTGCTTGCATTAAACCTATGAAAAAATGATATTTTTTTAATAGTAAGTAGATTTCGTGTGTAGCACTTCTTGATTTTTAAAAATTGTGAGTTAAACCTCTATGTATCACGCGATGGCCTGTCTCACTCTACCAAAATTATCATTTCTCGGTGAGCATTCGGAAGCCAGCCAAGCGCGGTCATTGCACGCGTGCTGCACAAGAATGCTGTATCATGACAGACTAGAAACAATAGACAACTCCCAAAGCACAAACCAAGCCAAAACGCTAAAAATCTTCAATGTTTACTCAATGACCATGAAATTCAGAGTCCGGGTAGTTAGTTAATCAATTGTGGCCCTGAAAAAATTTGAAGGAAAAAAAGCTACGAATTTTTAAGAAAATGCTTTTTTCGTGAGATTGACTCTTAAACGCTGACAAACGTCAACAAATAGCGAAAACTATAATTTCTATATGTTTGCTTTGCTCGAAATCGCGCGCATTTACAAGGCGCTAAATTGTTTTGCTGACTTGCAAGGACCCATCTGTTATAACGATGCCCAAAATAAAGAGATGAGTCTCATAGTTTATTAGATATAATCCGTGTAAAGTTTGGTTATCATTTTCGCATAAATTATGACCTAAATTTGGAAACCGCTGAATTTCTCGAATTGGGTCTTTGCGATTTTGGTGAAACTCTGTTCAGCGCAAGGCACTAATGCGCACTATGTGTAGCCGAGAGATTTTCACGAAAAAATGTTGGCAACAGCAGATTTTCGACTCAGACCTCAAAGGGACGTGGCATTATAACCACGTGACATTTACTCCGATCGCCAAAAATTTTATGTTATATTGTAGATTGATCTATATGTTATCCATTCTATGTGTTAGACTTACGATAAAAGTAAAGGTGGGGATACCAGAGAGCTTCAAAGTAGGATGGTACCCCCCCAAAAAAACTGGGTCGAGTCACCTTAAGCTGACCCGCAAGAAAAAATTCTGGGTTTTCCTGTTCCAATTGCCCTTATTGTAAGATCATGTGGCATTCTCAGGATATCAGAGTTACACACTTTTGAGTACAAAGTCTGGAAAACGATTTCCAAACGCCTGCATGCATGAAACTTACCAAAAGAAAACCTCAAAAAACGTTTATCAATTGAATAGTCTACCCAACGTTAATATACACTAAAGATAATTCTACCAGCAATTGTCTTTGTTTTAAATGGTAAAATTACCCAAGACTGTGTAAAGTCTTTTTGACCTAAAACTTATTTGAACAAATTTCTTATTTTTCTCACTCTCATTTTTTGCAGTTCGCTATCTTATCGTTTTCATACAGTTTATAATGGATTTCCACCGAAATCCCTGTTTCAATTTTGGCTGTAGGAACACCACACGGGAAACTCAAGCTGCTGATAACGATATTAGTTTGCAAACAGTGTCAAGTGAAGGGCGGGTCGACACTCCTGGAATTATTGCGGTGGAGAATGAGTTCTGCCAGGCTGACGTCACCGTGAATAACAAAGTGAATTATGGTCATATTGTAAATTGAACAATACAAGTAGTATAGTAGGTACCGACGCAATCTGCTTTTGTTTCTTTATTTCGTATCGACGTTGGGCCAGTGAATAGCAGTTAAACCAGAAAGAATATAAGTTGTGGAAGAAGAGGAGGGAAACCTATAGAACTGAGAAGAAGGAGGGGAGGAAACAGCGAAAATGAGGAGAAGGAGACAGACATTTTATTTGTGCACAGATGTTAGTGATGGTAGAGGGAAACAATAGAAATGTAAATGTGGGGTTGTTGGAGTCGATGGGGAAAAACAAATGATTACGGAGAAAGAGAAGATGAAAGGGGAACGTGGATTGGGAAAGAGGCACGGGGAACGGCGAAATGAATAGAGGGATTAAAACAAGAGAATTGCTACTGAAGGCACTGATAGGGCTTGAGCTTAAGCACATTTTGTTCGCATTTTAAATTTCTTGTCCACCTGCTCGGTACTTGTTCCCTGTCACCCGTTCCTCGTTTCAGTAAAATCTCTTGAGATAGGAATATTGTATCACGTGCTAAAAGAGGTAGTTTAATTTCCTGTTGCTCTCATTAATGTACACAATTTACGCAATCATGAAGAAAATAGACAACGTATTGTTGTATGCCTATTATAGTAGTTCATGAATCTTTTTGACAGGGTTTCCAAGGAAAGATGGACTGCCTGAAGCAGTTAGTTGTTCAGTAAAAGCAAAAGTACAAAGCTGCCGATATAACACAGATTCGACCTCGGCATGCAAAAAGGGCCCTAGTTTCTTTTTGCTCTTGACCCTCTTGATAGAAAGGTATTAAAGTTTGTAGAATGGTAAAGAAAACAGCCGTCTCGATGTACAACAATATATTGACAACGAACCATTCTACAATAAAATAAACGCGATAGAATTAGAAAGCAAAAAAAGTTAACATAATTGTCTGGAGTTAACTACTTACAAGAACTCCGTAAAGTGAGAAATAGTCATAAATAACTTGCAAATCGTTCGTAGCATTCAAATCAAAAACATAGCCGAACTAAATAAGAAAAGTCCCCGGTCAGCGGGTTTAAGAGAGTCTCTGGGGCAAGAAGTCTCCATATAGACTTCCTAATATGTTATCTCTTATACCTTGTATACCACTATATATCTTATGTTAACCCTGGTAATACTGTATACCCTGTATACCCCCATATATCCTGTGTACCCATGTATCCTGTTTACCCTTGTTTACCGTAGTAATACTGTATACCCTGTATACCCTAATACATCCTGTGTACCCATGTTTACCCTAGTAATACTGTATACCTTGTATACTCTGGTATATCCTGTTTACTCATGTTTACCATAGAAATACTGTATACCTTGTATACCCCTATATATCCTGTGTACCCATGTTTACCCTAGTAATACTGTATACCTTGTTACCATGGTATATCCTGTTTACCCATGTTTGACCTAGTAATACTGTATACCTTGTATACCCCTATATATCTTGTGTACCCATGTTTACCCTAGTAATACTGTATATCCTTGTATACCCCTATATATCTTGTGTACCCATGTTTACCCTAGTAATACTGTATACACTGTATACCCTTATATATCTTGTGTACCCATGTTTACCCTAGTAATACTGTATACCCTGTATACCCCTATATATCTTGTGTACCCATGTTTACCCTAGTAATACTGTATACACTGTATACATCTTGTGTACCCATGTTTACCCTAGTAATACTGTATACCCTGTATACCCCTATATATCTTGTGTACCCATGTTTACCCTAGTAATACTGTATACCTTGTATATACCACTATATATCTTGTGTACCCATGTTTACCCTAGTAATACTGTATACCTTGTATACCACTATATATCTTGCGTACCCATGTTTACCCTAGTAATACTGTATACTCTTGTATACCACTATATATCTTGTGTACCCATGTTTACCCTAGTAAT